GTTCAGTTTTACAAAACACTTTGTACGAGGATATCTTTGTAAATCTGGATTATTAGTTTGGTAAATACGACTTGCCAATAAACAGTTACCATGAGTTTTACTAATTATTCTATTATTTATTTACTAATTCTTCTTTAGAGTAATTCATTTCACAATTATTACTGTCGCTTTTCTATTAAACCTTATGTGAATCGAAAATTTTCCAGATTATCATTTGACAGGAGCCTACTACGTTATTTTACATATAAGCTATTTGTAAACTTCGCATTTTTTCATAGAAATGAGATTTCATGAAAAACTAATGAATTTTGGTATATGAGCAGGTATAGCAAAGTTGTAGAATGTAGAATCCGAAAAAAATATAAAAAATGTGTGTTTCCATTTAAAAAACCAAAGTTGGTGTCTGTCCAGGAAAAGTGGAACACCCTGTATAGTTGAATATATTTTTAATTTGTACATTCCGAGAAATGTGGCAACACAGTAAAAAGAAAAATCCATATATTCCTCATTTTAACATAGACATTGGACTTTCCCGCACTAGTGGGACACGCTGTATATAGTTTTAGTGTCCTAGAGGCGTCAGCGTTTAATTTATTTACATTATTTTCATCTCGATTGATGGAAAAAAACAATGTGCAATGCCAAGTCCTCCAGACTCTGTCGGATTCTAGGTGTGCAGTCTAGTAACGGCTGACGGTTTTTAACAAGTTATATGCCTGCAGACTGTTTTCAGTTATGTTGGATGTTATCTGGAAATGTCAGCACAGTAGCGTTGTTAATTCAATTTCAGCTCGCTGTTGTAAAATACACGACGGCGGTAAATCTTTGAAATAAAGAAATTAAAGAGAATGAAAATTGGTATTATGTGTTTATGTAGTGAAGCTACGGGCTGTAAAACAACAAATTAGATATAAAATTGTCTGTTAAATCCAAACAAACTGTAAAAAAGTCTGCAGGCTACAATTCATTAAACAAGAATCTATAGCTATACAAATATTCGAATATTCTTATCCCTTTAACCAACTGAAGGAACTTAAATCTAGTTATGGTGTGATGATAAGGATTATAAATTAAATTAAACGGTAATAGCTTTTAGTGCTTTAACGAAATACTTCTATTTAAAATGCCTTTAAAGCTGTTGCATAACATAGTGCATATCGACACTAATGATTTAGCTGTTAGATGTGCTTATTTTAAAATATTTCATTTTATCATACATATACAAGGTGTTGTCTAAATCCAAGTCACTTGATCTTGATGAGGTCGTTTCTTGGATCATTTTAGAACAGAAAGCCATGGGGTAAAGCTCCTAGTTTTTGAAATATGGGACATTGAAATTTCAAAAGAAGGGAAATGCATGTATTCAAATAGAGCTGAAGACATGAGACATGACAGTTAATTAAAGATATACAAGTCTGTCAACCATTGGTGGAAATTCCAGGAGGCAGTCACGAAGAAATTCAGAATTTCTACGCCATTGCATATTTTGAAAATTGGGCATATGCATTTAGTTCTAAATGTTATTTCTAAAAAGTATACTTATATTTTGCTCGAAAAAATAAGCCATTTTTAAGTTGTTACTATTTTTTAATTTAAAATGTATCAAATTAAACAAATTTAAAATATTGGGGTTAAAAATAGTGAAAATATTATAAAGAAGAAAACCCTCTAACAAGAAAAAAGTGAACCATAACAAGGAAAAATTAATTTGAACATAATAATGAGATATTTCAGAGATATCGTTATTATTTTTTGCAAAAACAGTAGCATTTTCTGAAAGAGCAGTGGAACTTACATAAATACGAGACTTTTCTATTTCTTTTCGAAAGGACGCTCCATTTTCGAGAAATTTGCGAAATGTATTTTTAAAACCCCTTTTCACGGTACGCCTATGGCAACACAAATTGTCGGTAAATCGCTTTTTAATGTTGTATGTACTTCATTGAGTTCTCAACTGGTTCTGCATTCACAAACTTTTAAGATAACTCCAAATAAAGAAGTCCAGCATATTCAGGTCTGACGATCTAGGAGGTCATTGGGCCAGTCCATCAAATCGTTTATTAAGATAAATAAAGTCAAATTATGTGTTGTCGCCTGTCACGTTAAAAGGGATACGTCAGTTAATCCACTCTTCCTGAAAATACAACTATTTTTTCGAAAATTTCAGTGGCGTAGAAATACTGCTCAAGAAAAGTTAAACTATCTTATTTATCATAACCATATTCAAATCGTACAGATTTTTAGGTAATACCCTGCACTATATTTGAATTCATTTGGTCAACCCTTTTGGAAGATATAAACAAAAACAGATTTTGTGAATATATTAATATTCTAAGACTAAGCGTTTTTGGACATGTTCATGAACTATTTTCTTATTTCTTCGAATACTCTTTGCTTTAAAATATGCAAATTTTTTGTTCGACATGCAGTTTTAAATGCAGCTCAACTATCCAAAAACATCAACGGCTCATAAATTTTACAATTTCTTGGGAGCTGTTTTCCAGGCAATTAAACATTCCGATTAACGACTTCGTGGGCTTTTGAAGGTCTAAATTCTCATAGATTTTATTGCATGAAATTAATAGTTTGAGTTATTTTAGAATAATTTTCAATAAAAAAAATAATGACTTGAAAATGGTGCATTTTTCGTTTTTTTAGAAATAGTCATTAAGTGAACTTATCGAATTTCCAAAATTCTAGGTTCTTAATGACAGTCACCCACAGTATTCCCACCACTGGTTGTCATATTTGTAGAAAAATGCAGTGAATTTTTGCTTTTAATTAGGTCAATTATTAGCTTACATTTAATTTAAACATATTTAGATACATTTTTAGAATAAGATATTTTTAAAAAATTGATAGTATTGTATCAAGACAACAAGTGGTTTTAGACCTTTACTTCATCAAAGCTTTTTGTTCTAAACAGACATAATCTTTGCTGCTAAAGCATGGACTTAGAAAACACCCTGTAAAATAAACAAAGTTAAGCGAATAATAATACTCCTGGTGGATACTAGCCCCTGTGATAGGAAGCAAATAATAAAAACACACATAAAGTTACCTACCTAGCACTGATTCCGCTAAAGCACTAACGCCCAGGTGGGTGGTACGATCGTATGAGGGTGAGAAAATAAGCAGTAAGTAGTGAGCACTTACCGCCATCTTAGTCTTGACTACTCACAGTTAAGTGCTCGTGTGAAGAGAGCTAGAGCTAACAACACTTACCGCGTCCTAAAATGCAAACAACACCATCATGCAGTCTTACGACATCTAAATAGTCTAATCTAGATTAATCGAGATGCATAATTAGACAAGCATTAAAGACAGCTCGTGCAGAACTTGGCATAAGGGTGGGAAGACACTGATCAATTATGTGTATATAAAAACAAAAAAGTTTCGTGTATGCAAATAAAATTTTCCAAATGTCAAACACCTTGCATTTTAAAATGGGTGGTGGTGAAAAAATTTAATAAAACTATGAAATATTGTGGGTCTTCCAATTAACTAGAGCACCAACTTTGACTTATAACACGTGGATGAAGAAATATTTGAACTAACTTTAAACCATGTTATATGGCGACCATAATACAGGGTGTATCTATGTCGTAAATTAAGGGGGTGATTCCTTGGGTCATTTTAGGCGCAAACCCTTAATAAATCAGAGCCCTAAAGTTACTGGTTTTCAAGATAGAGGGCGTTAAAGTTTTTAAAAAGTATCACATTTTTTCAATTATCCCTGAAGTTGTTTGACCTAAATTGACAAAACTAGGGAAACTGATGTAACTAATTAAAAGTAAGAATTCGGTATATTTCTATATAAAATTGAGAACCAGTGGCGCAGATTCAGGGGACCTTTGTCATTAAAGCCCTCAGAAAAGCTACGCCACTGGATTTTCATAAAAATTAATAGGCGCGTTTAATTTATTGTCATATTGTCATGGTTAAAAAAAAATAAAACACCAGAAGAATGTGAAGCAGATTTATGACAACGAATCATGATTGAATGTTAGCAAGTCAGACAAATAACAGTAAAATGAAAATGTCGACCATTGCATTGCCAGCAACACAACATAGCCTTCGCCTCAACAACTGTCGTACATTTTCAAAAATTGCTCGCATTTGTCTGACTTGCTGACATTCATTTATGATTCGTTGTCTTAAATCTGCTTCATATATATTTTTTAAAGCTTGAAATGCCTATTACAAATTATTTTAAAATGATGAAAACATGAAAACATCAAACATGAACACAGTAACTCGAATATGGTGTGAAGAAAATGCAGAATTTTTTTATTAAAAACATGACGATTAAACGCGCCTATTAATTTTTCGGTAAATCCAGTGAGGTTTTAATAATACAGACCCATGAATCTCCGCCACTGGTAGACAGATTTACATAGAAATATACCGAATTATTACCTTTAATTAGTTACATAATTTTCTCAAGTTACGTCAATCCACGTCAAACAACTTCAGAGATAATTGAAAAAATTTGATATTTTGAACAATTTCAACGCCCTCTATCTTGGAAACCAGTAACTTTAAGGCCCTGGTTTATTAAGGTTTTTGGGCATAAAATGACCCAAGGAATCATCCCCTTGATTTATGACATAAACTTAGGACACACCCTGTATATCCGTGTGTAAATACAAAGTTGACCCTGCAGTTGCGGACTGTAAATAGATAGACAGAAATTATTTAGCTAAATTAGAACTATCTAGAACTGAGAATCTGTTTTAGCCCAAATCTAATTTTACTGGAATAAAAAAATAATAATCCGTGATTTTATAGAAAGAATTATATTTAAAATCGCGATTAAAAATGCAATTCCATATTTTCTGAAACCACGCGAATATTAGAATCACTTCTGCGTGTCTATTTAGTACAGTATGATTATCTATATTTTGCACTCCATTCACATCTATTATTTTTGAACAGCAAAAAAAGTTAAATAAGAGGCAAAGTCGAAAATTAAATTTAAGAAGATACAGAATTAAAAAAAAATCCACAATGACCTTTGCTTTTGTTTTTCTTTTTAATAGAACACCCTATATATGTTTATATATGTATACACAATTCTAATTATATTGAGTTAAAGTCTGAAGGGTTTATCTCTAGCAGCAGTAAAGGTAATATCCATATATAGAACTCTTTTGGTCATGTACCGAGTATTTTCTAAATCCATGTCAAAATTACCGGGAATTGCTCCCTGGACCTTTTTAGACCATAAAATCTTAGTTAGCTACTGGTTTTCGAGATACAGCGTGTTAGACTTAGAGCGTTCGAAGGTCGAAGCGAAACAGCTGATTTTTTATCAGTCGTCTAGAGTTTTCAATTGGTTTCAAAATCAAAGTGCAGAGGATCATAAAACTTTAGTAACAAAGCTATGGGCGAATGAGTGAGTATATTTTTTAGCCGTAGTGTCATTTTAAATATGAAGGTACCATACTCATTGAAAAGCAATAAGTCACACAATAAGGTATAAGTACTACAAACAGAATAATTAATTGAACAATGAACATAATACTAAAACACGTATTCAATTAGAAAACGTAGTGAATACATTAACAATCTTAAAAATACTAAATTGTATAATCTAACATTCGAAAACAATTATTATCCTTATACATTTGCATTTATTAACAAATAAACTTGTTAATATTTAAAACGTAAAAAATCTTATTCATTCATGTGTCTAGCTAAAAAGCTGTCTTTATTCGATGTAGCTCCCTACGGATTAAAAAGGCATTAAAAGCTAGGTTAATGACATATACGGTAGGTCAAGATTCACTCTTGATAAATCTTTGTGGGTCAGCGGTCCAAAACGGGGTTTAAATAATGATTTGAAAATATTTTTATCAGGGTAAATATGCATTTAATTTTTTTTTTAATAGCGTATTCGTATTCTACTCATTTTTCCCTATCATCTCCATAAAATTAATGACATTATGACTGGATTACCCTGAAAACTTATTTCAATATTCTGAAAACGTTTGATTTAGATTGATAAAACTTTGGATAACGATACAATCAATTAAAGGCGACATTCACTGAATTGATATTGAAATCTATGGATTAATGGTGGAGATATTGGGAAGCACTAAGAATCCCAGAATTTCGACGCCACTGAATATTTTGAAAACTTAATAGCATATTAATTCCAAATATTATTTAGCAAAAGCAATAGTTTCCTCTTCTTTGTTAGAAGAGTCATTTTCGATTTATTTTTTAATAACTAAACAATATTTGTTCGAAATTTTAATTATTGTGCCACCGTCAAAATCCCAAAAGAATTACATGCATTTATTTAATTTCCAAAATATTCTACTGGTTGATAAAGCGTTAGTTCATCAAATGAATTTTAATTACGATTTAACTGAATCTAGCTTAGTTGCTACGCTATGAGTCAATCGATTGACTGTTATCAAGGGATTTACATAGTTGAATGCCGTTTAAATATTCTTCAATGCAGAATCGTATGCGTATCAAGTATCAAGTAAGTAAATTTTTGCCTGTAATTAATTATATTAATGGTTGAGGTTTCATCAATCTAATCATACCACTGAAGAGATATTTTAGAGTTTATTATATCTTAATTGTCACTGCTATTTAAAAGTTCAACACCCTGTATCTAGAAAATGTTTGCTTTGGTTATAGCCCTGGCTCATTAAGGTTTCCTGGTCTTGGTACATATCTCCGGAAGGAATAATTATGTAAGACTATACAAGTTCTTCTATTAAAAAAAGTAGGTTTCTTTGACATACTATTGATATTCATTTGTTTGACCGGTCCAAAATATAGACAGACTCACACTGTACGTTATAACTGACTCCGCATTTAAGACTGAAAAGATATTGGGCTGAGTTCCTTCAGGCAATAAATAAATAAACACAATCGCCTAGCGAAATAAAACATTTGGACTAAAGCATCTAACTGATCAACAAAGTGCGATTTTATCCCTTCTACGCAAATGTCAATTAGCCGGAGCAGAGCAGAAATCGCAATCATCCATTTAAATGAAGCAGGTTCGATTGCAGAGCACCGTAAGACACTTTCTTATGTGGAAATATCGCTTGTAAACTAGTTCTGGGAGGGCATAAATTTAAAATCCGTGCAGCAACCTCGTGGTTGTGCTTGCAGAATGAATGTTATCCGCGAAGTAAGGTCAGCATTGCTGGTTACATAAGACTAAAGGATATTTTGGTCGAGAAATTAAATGTTTTTTTGAAATTTGGTCCATTTATTCTAGTAGATACCTTAATCTTGCACAACCATGCGATTCTTTGTCAATTTTGACCCAACATCCACTATATTATTTGGGAATTTATTGTGTTTTCGTTAAGAGTGATCTTAGATTTATTCATGAACTTTTACTGACACAATTTCAAGGGGTGGATGACACGTCAAAATTGTTATACAGGGTGTAATAGCGACGTTGATCTTTGAATGATTGGAACTGAAACATAGTTTATGTTCAATTACACAATACTCATAAAAGATATAGAATTCGTAAAGTGCAGTTCATCACAGGTAAAATTAAAAAACTAACCAGTGGTGTGGGAATTAAGGGAGATGTGAGGAGTTTCAAATGTCAAAAACAGTTTTTTGAGGAAAATGAGAAAATTTTTTTACAGATTTAGACAAACCATTTCAATTAAAATTTCATGTGCATGACTACATTAGGACAGAGCCATAGATAAGTCAGTTACTTTGTTCTAATTTCTTAATAATTAAAAGTACCTATGTAATTATAAAAAGTTGAGTTTGTCCTTCCTATTTCTTCTCTCTACCTTCGCTGCTAAAAATGTTCCTAGCATTGCGCTGATTTTGGAACTTTCAACTGTGAACTTATTCTATTAAAAATCAATGGGCACAATAGTTTTGGTAGGAAATAGTCTATCTAAAAGGAGATTCTATGTAACGTCGAATTTTTTTGACGGTAGAAACCGTTCAGACTTCTCTTTATTTCGACGTTACTGGATGGTTCTTGTTAAGATTTTTCACGTTGGTAACCATTGTAAAGGAACAACAGTTTACTAATTTTGAAGTCTATATCTTTAATGATTCTTGAATAGTTGAATAATTACACAGAAGGTACACAAGAAGGTGATCTGATCCACGAACGAGATTCATGCCACCCTATATTTTTGGATCACCCAAAAAACGCAACCTGTTATGGAAAATATTTTATTCAAAAGCCCCAAAACCCAGAAAGTAACCAAAACTCTACATTCAGTAGGTACTCCTTGGGCACAGACATAGAAACGAGTCGACGAATCATATTGGCGAAACTCGTTGCATTTTGGGCATTCAATTCTTTCAAACGTTCTGCTTCGGGTGAACACCAGAAAACCACCCATTAAAATCAACTAAAACTCTACATTGAGCGGATTCAAGTCAAAAACTCAAACCACAAATTTATAAACAATGCACCCCTAAATAGTAGACAAATGAGTATTGCGAGCTTATTTAATTGACGATGGACCTAAATTCTAATCCACAGACACTGCATACGATTCACTCATGCAATACCGTAGGAAAATTATCTAGATAGATCAGTCTTGTACCCCTGATGGATATCAGAAACTCCCTGCTCCCGGGTTTCTCATTGGATGAACTCTGCAAAAGGAGTCTATCTGCAATCACGTTATACCTGGTATCTCTGAAGGCAGCTGTGATTGAGTGAGAATATCAACACTACACCTAAAGACTGAAGTAAATCAATACAGTGTTTTTTAGTTATACCTTTTGTATCGCTCTCTTTTATCTTCGAGTGATTCATGTGAATCATGTCTTTTTCTCTTTTTTCTTTCATTTAAGTATTTCTTTTTTAAACATCTAACAGTAATTACTGGAAAAGAATAACTAAAAACATATACATTGGCTTACTACAGTCTTTAGGTGTATTCATTCGCTAATGTCTTGAGAGATTTTTCGAGTATACCATGACTGCAGATGGACTCATAGACTCAGGATCCCATTTAAAGATCAACCAAGTAAATGTTAAGTTGCAGCATATTTTGCGGTATTTGGTGAGTGGCTTGTATGTAGCTGCGAGGTTAGGAATTTAAGTTCATGGCCACATAAGCTCGCCTCACTCAATTACAGCCTCCTACATCTAGATCGCTGTGACTCAATTGTCTGCTGTGCAGACTGCGTGAATCTGGAGCTGTATTTCTTTGGTTGCAGTTTGTGGTAAATCTACCGAATGTAGAATTTTAATGGATTTTTATTTTATAAGGTTCTCTGGTCACCGGTAAACTGAAGAATTGCAAGGGTTGATTGAGTCCTTGAACATCCAAAATATGCAATGAACCTATATTGAGAAATTTACTGAATACAGAGTTTTGGTTGCTTTTAAGGGTGGTTTTTGGTGGTTTCTGGGGTTCCAAATACTTAGGAATCCATGGGTCTCATCCATGGAATAGGTCACTTTGTTTTTGTGTACCTGTGGCATGTCTCACGTTCAATCTTTTAAACTTTTAGGAATAGTTCTGGGAAAAAACATTCGTCTTGTTCTTTGTTTATTTAGACGAAGAGTTCTGACAGCCTGTAATAACGTCTCTTTACACACTGTATACTTTCAAACCATGGGAGTGCCAGGCCAGGTGAGTGCACTGTGCCATGGATTGCAGTTAATGATAACCATGTCAAAAAAGTGGCACGTGACAGTGAGAAAATGCATCAGTGCTTTTGGTTAAAAGTTAAAAAAATTAGTGCAGTTCCTATCGTGGCTACATTCGCAACCCACTACGATTCATTGTCATTTAGAAACTAAAAATTGAAGCGATGGCTGCTGATACAGTTTAGATAATCCTTGAAACAATGTACGTTGTCAAACGCACTCAATGATAAAAGATTTAGAACTAAAAAATAAAAAAACAGTAATTTGTGACTATATGTTTAGAAAATTACTGATGCGTTCTATTCATAAAAAATATTTTAACTTCTTCTGCGAAAAAATGAAAGAAAATAATCCACCACGTCTTTATTCGGTGATTTTACTACAATCTGCTTCTGTACCTCTAAAGCATGAACATTTTGGCTGTATCAATACCCAAAGCTTCCAAACATTCAATAATTTGAACTGAACGGGAAGTGATCATCAAAATAGACTCACCTTCCTGGCGTTGGTGGCCTTGAGATCGGGCTGCAGCGCCATGTTGGAGAAGGGCACCTCCATGGAGTACTTGATGCTGTGCAGCAGCTGCACCACCACGTTGGAGACATTCTTGAAGGAGAGCTTCCGTCTCTGGGCGGCACCGAGAGCCGATCGCACCTGCAGCGTGTTGAACAACAGTGGCTGGAAGAGACCCGCCAAGGGGCAGGGGGAGGGCGATAGGTTAGTCACACGTAGGGGTTAGCACCAGGGGGGGGCGAAGGCTATCCGCAGGCCGGGATAATTACTACTACTACTTGATGATGGTCGGATATCGAAGTTAAAAGGATGGTATCACCCGATGATGGGCAGTTAGCGAAACGTTAGTCTAGTATTGTCGTTTTTGATTCGCATACAATTATATTCGTGTTTTAGATGTTAAAGATTTTTTTCCAAGAACTTCTGCTTTTCAAAATACCTTAGTAAAGACAAGAGCTCGACACTTCAACGTTTAAATTAAAAGGGCATGTGAGGGATTCGACGTTCGTGGTAGTTCCGTGACTCATTTCCTTTTTGTTTGTATTTCATGCATTGATACGGGTACATACAAAAATAATTAAAAATAAGTAATAGCTAATAGTCGCGCTGTGCGATTAAATTTATGAAACATTTTGCTAATTTACACTGAGATGAAGGAGTAATGAAAAGTATTTAAGAAATGATTTTGTTCGGTTGGAGTTCCTATCAATGTAATAGACAAAGTGTTTCTACTGAGTATTTTTATTTGGCTTTGTTCAATATGTGTAATATTTCGATGTTTGTGGCCTATAATGAATAATTTCGATTATTTTGACATAAAAATGTACCTAAGTGGCTATTACTCCGAAGTCTTAGCCCTACTATTTTTCATTCTTTCTGAAATGAAACATTATGTAGAACTGAGTGACTAATATCCTCTGAAGTGTCTAAAGTTCCTCAAGGTTTCATACTAAGTCCCTTCCTAGTTATAATTTATTGAATGATATAAAATGAACAGACTATCAGAAGAACTTAAAAAAATCCAAGAATGTCTCAAAAACAAACTAAATAATGATATGTTAAAAAAATAGTATGTAGTTTTAGATTTTCGGTCTTGCTTTAAGAAATTTGTATTATAACTTATAAAGTGTAATATCGAATACGCTACTTTAGCTTAGTTCCTAGGATAATATTACATACAGATAATTTTTTAAGATTGCCTTTCTATAAAGTTGAAGATACCTCAGCGATACTTTAAAATTTTCATTACTTAGGAAGTAGCAATCTTGTTATTTTTATACAAAATAATTCACGACATACAGAAATATGTATTTCCCAGATTGCGAAAATATAAACTCTATATTAATAACTAATACTACAGACAAATGCATGCTCTAAAAAAAATCTAAAGAATTCACTCTAAAAATAAATGAACCACAATTTAAAACTAAAAACGTACATTTTCCGGATTCTTTGTTTAATATTGGTTTTATTTCTAAACAGAAGTTTAAATTCTATTAAAATAAACACATTATATTACTTACTTAGTATCCACGTTTTTGAAAAAATTTTAATTTTGGGTAAAAAGAATTGAACATTTTTCTTCGATCATTGTAACAGCAAATTCATGACATCCAGTGACAGCACCTCTTAAAGATAATTACAATTGGAACTCTTAAAATGAAAATTTAAAAAATCCTCGATATTTCCGTGATATTTTCAGATCTATGAAATTTTCTGATAAAGTACGTTCCAAAGTAAACAAAACTTTTTAAAAATAAGAACAACAAATCTTTTTTTGGCAAAACCACTCAATACACCGATCTGCACGGTCTAGAAGCATGTCGAATGAGTGTTTTAAATTGTCGGCCCGGATGTCCTTTAGGATGTAATGATCCTTTTAGATGGCTTCCACGTCCACAAAACGCTTTCCTTTCATCGGCAAATGAATTTTTCGGGAAAGGTAAAAGTCGCGCGGTTCCAAATCAGGTGAATACAGTGAGTATAGTTAAAATGTGATTTTTAGTCAAAACTCGATCACAAGTTTCTTCGCATCATCGTGCAACAAACGCTAACTTCCTTCTACGCGATATTCTGGCCGAATACAACGAATACGATGCACCAAACGCTTCAAAATGCCAAAGTAGAATTGTGAATGTTAATTTAGATGCTCAGTTCCAATTTCATGTATTTAAATGAAGATTTTGGCTGATCTTTGATGAATTCACTCACAGTTTTGATGGAATTTGCGGTAATCACGGTTGGCTAACATGTTATCCTCACGACCGTTTTTAATCCGCGTATACCATTCATGAACTTTGCCACTGGATAAACCTTAGAGCATATACTACTGGAGCCAGCGTCCCAGTGGGCAAGAGTGTAGCGGAGGTTGTAGAGAGAGAGAAGTGTAGGAGGGTATATGCTATCCCTCTCTAGCAGCAAGCGATTCTGCCGTCAACAGCTGCTTCTGTCGTTAACAGGGGGAGAGGACTGCAGCCAATCGCGTGCTGCTAGAGAGAGATAGCATATACCCTCCTATACCTCTCTCTCTCTCTCTACAACCTCCGCTACACTCTCAGCCACTGGGATGCTGCCTCCAGGAGTATATGCTCGAAGGGATAAACAATCACCACCATAAATTTGGTTCATTTATTGAAACGATTCGGTAAAAATTCGCTCTTTGTTCGATGCTTATTTTTATACCGATGACACAAACATACTGTCAATAACTCCGCTTCTATTGGTCCAAATGTCGTGAAATTTTGACAGTACATCAGTGAAGGATCTACCTTTCCAACGCATGTAATAGTCCATAGATAGCCTCACTAGAAATACCTATTTTGGAAAAGTCCTGTTTACTTTAGAACGCCCCTTTTACATTGCTTATACAACTGGTTAGAGATTATGTCATATCTGAATATTCAGGTAATTATAATTGAAGCACTTTATCTTTTGGCCTCATGTTATATTGGAAAAATGTTTTTTTTTTAAAGATTCTTCTACACCAATTTAACGTCCCATCCAAAATTTAAAAAAGTATTGTGTGCTTTCACCCTTGTACTTAATATATTATATTGCATTACTTTTCAACCTGTATTGCCATGTTGATATATTTAATAAATAAATAATTTGAAGGACTAAGTTCAGGTAAGTAAGTTGCCCCTTTCGAAGACAAACATTCCAATACAAGACAAATTCTAATTCTGGATTCAGTTAATAAAAACGTTTCGTTACCCCCTGTTACAGTAATCCAATTCCAAACTCAGTAAACTGATTAATGCAGATATTAATAAGTTGGAAGTTCGCGACTGACTGGTGGAAGTTAGGAAAATGCGACCTAGTTAATTAAATTTAGCCGGCAGATCCCTTAATGACTTTGGGACGGGAGTATCCAAAGTGGCTACGACCTCCCTGTTCTTGTTAAGGTAAAAGTTTCGAACCCCGTGTAATACACTCGCCAGATACAACCTAATTGGAGTTATTTAGAAACGAATTAAGAACGGCAATAAATATTACGGAGGGGGATTTTAAATTATCCGCTCAACTAATTAAAGATTTATCAGAAATAAAAAATTCGGGAACACTGCTTTCATAATTATACTTCTCGAGAACTTGAGAAAATAAAGAGAAGTAGTTGAGTAGCATGCCCAATTCGGACGTTATTTTTGTATAGAAACTGGTTTCTAATATACCTAATATTAAAAAAATATAGGGTAGGCTTTGATAGTATTTTGAGAAAAATAGATGTAAACCAAGAAAAAGTAATTATGTAATATATTACTTAGAATTTTACTTATGAAACGACTCTATTACATTATTACAAAAGACAAAGAAAATCACTTAAAAATGGTAAATTTTTCCTGTTAACCAATTAAAATTACATTGGAATCTTATAAAAATATCTCCAAGTAGCATCGTAGTATAATAATTGGAATTGAAAAATCAAATCAGTTGGTTTAAATTAAGGGACTGGATCAATTGCAATTGTATTTAAACTGAGGGGACAAAGCATAACTGGAATATTAGTGGAATCAATTCAATTGAACCTTGTTTCAATGAGAAGATTAGAATAAGTCCAACTGAATTTCTATTGGAACTCAACTGGAATCTCATTCAAACTGAAAAGTCAAAAGATTAATTCAGACTAAAATATTATTGGCATTAATTTGGCTGAACTTTTATTGAAGTCAGAACTTTCAAAGATTGAGTTTAGTTGGAAAAAAATTCGATTAAGTTCGGTTGATTTTTATTAAAATAAATTCAATTGGAAATCAAACCAAAGGTCAAAGCATTGAAGCCAACGAAAACTTGATTGGAATCCACCTGGAAACGTGAGTTATCTTGTTCACATCAAAAGAACGGAACTAATTAGAAATGTGTGTGATCAAAAAGATAAAAGTAATTTTAATCAACCTTACAAAAATATATCCAATTAGTCTGAGTGGAACTGAAGAATTATTTGGAATCTTTTTTTTTTCAAATTGAGAGTTTAAAAAGATTCATTCCACCGGAATTAATCCAATTTGACTGTTATTAAGAGCAGCTGTCCATATTAGAATAAATCATTTAGTTTAGTTGAGAAGACAAAATATTTAAGTCCAAATGGAATACTATCTGTCAATCCGCTTGTTCAAATTAGAATAAAACCATAAATGTGTCATCAAAGTTATTTTAATGTATTTTAAAAATATATATTTCTATTTAGAATCCTGTTATAATCATTTCAATTGGAAAACTGGAGAAACAATCAATTGAATTCCTTGTTAAAATGAAATATTAAAAGGAATAATTCCACTAAAATTAGTTCAATTGGACTGCTATTAAGAATAACGGTTTTATATTAGAAGTAATCATCTTTAAATTAGGAAGACAAAAGATTAAGTTGAAACGGAATATTATTGGAATCAATCCAACTGAGTTCTCCTTCAAACCAACTGGTTATGCAAATTGGATCAGTTGAAATGAACTGGAATCTTATTTGAATTGAAAAGCTAAAAGATTGAGTTAAATTGGATTCTTATTGGAATAAACTTTTAGTCATATCAGGAATTACGAAAGATCAGTACAGCCGGCAGGCACGTGATGAAAATAACTGCCGTTAGAATCAACTCGATTGGAATAAAACTTTACTGGAACAAATCCAACTAAAAATGTTACCAAATGTGATAGGGTTGAAAGGATTAGCT